AATTGAATCAACACCAAAATACATACAAATATTTACTGATAATTTACTAATTAAAACAAATTAGACAAGCAAAATTAATGATCCATTGTTTCTAATATTTCTTAATCATATATTCGTTAATATGATTAACTAATTACGTAGTTATATTTTCATATAAGAAGATCGCCACCAATCAAAACAGAAAATAGCACTTAACACATAAAAATTTATACTTACTATGGATGATGGAAATGGCATACATGACAACCAATATTTTTAGTAAAAGGAAACTAAGAATGCCAAAAAGAGCCCCATATTGGCCACGTACCATTTCCTGCTAAATCCCATTTCCTTTTTAATCCATAAAAAGATTTTTTAATAGATCAGATAAATTAGTTTATAGGGAAACCCCAAAGAAGTTATATATATATATATATATATATATATATATATATATATATATATATATATATATATATATATATATATATATATATATATATATATATATATATATATATATATATATATATACTAGCTGTTTGCCCGCGCAAAGCGGCGGCGGTGAATAATTTCTTTCAAGCAATTAGTTCCATTCGGAGACATGTTATATTTATAAGAACACTTGCACCATTATCGATCGGTTTCACAAAAATAAAAAGTGCAATGCCAAAATCAAAAAATATTGTGGTGGTGGATTCCATGGAGGAAAAGGAGATCAATATTTGAATTAGTCTTCAGTCAACTATATTTTATGCAAAAAATTAGGGAACTCCAATTTGAATGAGCTTTTAAATTTCAAACGATTTGTCGAAAAGAAGTGTTTCAGATTTTGAATGCACCAGATACCAGAGAAGAGATATTTTAGTAGTATAAGTTGGGTCAAAATTGATGAAAATACTAATTCAATCCCTAAAAATAAGGAAATATTAATTTAAATGTGTTTTTAATAATTGTATCCCTAGCATTATCATTTGTAAGATATATATTATAATATTATTATATTAATAGTTGGTTGTACTTTAAGCTTAAAAACTTGAACGTCTTAAAAAATTATTATTATTATATTGATTCTATTTATAGAAATAGTAAGATTTCTTTTATAAGGTAGTATATATATATATATATATATATATATATATATATATATATATATATATATATATATATATATATCTATATCTATATCTATATCTATATCACGTGTTAGTATATTTGAGATACCCAACATAAGTAAAGAGCAAACTTAGGTGTGTTACATAAGTCACAAAAAGACTTGTACAAGCACTTTGTTCGAAATATGAAAATATTTCTACCCATCTATTGAAAAAGAAGTTGATAATTATACCATATACTTTTCACATAAGCCACAAGAAGAGCTTACAAACATTTTCCAAGGTAGCAATTCCAACATATTACAAAAAAATCTAAATGTGGGTTATATTGCATATTCAATGAGTAAGATGGTTAAAACTTAAGAACTTAACTAAGAATGAAATTGGTCAAATGGATCGAACTAGTCAAACATCACTCAAAGTGTATTCAAATATTTACATCATAAATCACTCTTTCAAAAAAAAAAAAATACATCATAAATCATTTAATTGAAGAAGTTTATTGATATTTTAATATTATAATTATGCAATCGGGTATAACACATTAATTATTTAGATAACATGCTAAAAAATCAATGTGACTGACTTGTTTGATTGGAAGTACTTGCTCCATTTGAACTCGTTACACAACTCTTCCAGTTTGCCACCTCTACTTTCCTCTATATTCCTTATCAAACCCTAAAGGCCATGGTACTACAATATCAATTCTAATGTTTCAAGGTCCAAAACTCATGATTGATGATCTTCATTACATAAATATGCAACATTTTATCTATAACTCGTTTTTTGTCATTTAAATGTTTACATGAACACATCCATGTGTACAAAAATAATTTCATTTTAATATCTCCCATCAATGTCTACATTTGAAAACGAATAGAAATGTAAAACCAACATGAACTTGCAGATGATGCCCCATTATCAATTATTTTGTATACAACAAAACCACAACATTATAACAATCACTACAATCATACACACAATCAAATCGTGCCAAAGAAGGACATTTCATACATAAATTCTATCAAACAACAAGTGGGAATTGGGCAAATGGTCGCATGACAACACAAATCAACAAATTTAATACCTAAAATGCATGGTAGTATCCTTCCTATATCAATTAAGCAAAGATGCGTCTGATGCTGCCTACCTAGATGACACTAAGAAACTGAAGTTTCAAAAGTGAAGCAAACATCAGCGCATAAACGAACACATACAGACATAGCTTCATAAAATGATACCTGGTGCACATGAGGATGAACCAAAAAAAGTGTACACACATTCAAAATCGACCAAAGGCCTCTCCACTAGTGTTTCATTCTAAAAGTGCTAATACAACATAAGGGGGTATGATAAGAATATAACGAATTAAAAAAAAATCATTGACGGATGTTCCCACTGTTAACGGTCGCTGAAATCACATTAAGAAAAAAAAGGGGAATTTGGGTTTCAGTGAAGAAGAAGGGATAAAAAGAACTTCAGTCGTTTTTGTAAGAAATTTCCCAGGCGTTCCAGTTGGAATTAGGGTTTCGGCGAAGAGGAAGAAAATAAGAATTAGGGTTTCGATGAAGAGGAAGAAAAAAAGTTTTGGACAATTTCTCAATTTGTACGTGTCATCCTTGCACAGTGGCCATGCTAATCTTCTCTATATCGTTCCATTTTTATCAAATATCCCCAAAGGGACAATAATGCTTGCAGAGCTTCACCATATAAACGATAATCAAGTTCTTCTCCTGGTCGATGTGGGACGAACAGAGTCCAAAGCCATCTAGTTTCACTGTTCATAGTTTTGTATTTCATCAATCAAGTAAAATGTCTCCTTTGTACCTACAAATTATTTAATTACGGAATGAATGACTTTGCTTAAATATATAAAAATATAATAAATTAAAAAAAATGGTGGATTGTGTTTTGTACTCTATTATAAATATTCATCCATAATTATCTTTGATAAAAATTTCAATTAATTTATTTTTCTAAAAATTAAGAGCACATATATAACATAATATACACGTAAACAACACCTATTGAAGTGATCTACCCATTTGTTGATATACACTTAAAACGTTCAAATACAAGAAAACTTTAATTATTATAATGAGAATAAAGTCAATTAAGAATTTCGTAGGGCATCGGTTTTTTTTCTTTTTTTTTTTCGTTATGCAATTATATCAACAATTAAAATGAATCACTATTGTTTTCATTCCATTATAAACATGCTTTAGAAAATAAGTTTTAATATAACAAACCCAGTCAAACGAAGTTCAATTATTTTAATCTAAGATGGGCGCATTCGACTTTTTTGGAATATGTTGCGGTTTTTATATATTTTATTTTATTTTGTTAGATTGTAGTAAAACATAATATTACAGAGTTCAAAAATGTTGTGCTCACGATATATTTTTTGGATTAGTCATATGCTATTATTTAGACTCTTAAAAACATAATGCATAAGACTATCAGACTATGAGGTGTGATAGAGACCAATTCGAGATGGTCAATCTTCAAGATAGAACCAATTTGAGATGGCTAGTCTCCCAAAGAAATAAGAATCGTGAACATAAATATTGTACTAATAATTTTTCTCCTTTTTGATACAAATACATGACATTTAAATAGTAAATGAATTACAAAAGTCTTTATGTAGCAATATCAATCATAAATAAGTTAAAGATAAAACAGCTAACTCATAAATTCATAAATGTTTATTACCATTACCAGAATAACCACAATTGATTTTAAGTAATCAAAATATTCAAATTATCTTACTAATAGTAATGATACCGAATATGCTAACAAGAAGTTTAAGTAAACAAATCTCAAACACCTCTAAATAGAGTTTAATGGCTGTTTGATAGGCACTAACATGATTAAAACAGATTGGGTTAGAAATTAACTGAGTTAGAGGCACGAAATTTAGATAGAGTCAGAAACAAAAATGTATACCAAACACTTGGACTAAGGATCGAGTCCACAATTGAAGAGTAAGTCTGATTTTTTTTTTCCAAACCGAATTAGAAGAGAAGTGGTAGACAAGATCAGAAGTTACGACCGAGTCAAGATGTTTTGAAGCAAATCAAAAACTATGATTGAAAAATGTGGACCGAGTCCTAGTTTAGGACCCTATCAGAACATCTATTAAACGACCCTTAACTCACATTTTTTTAACATGGAAAATGATCTTTTAAAGTGCCTCTTTCATCTTGAAGGAAAATAATGCACCCAAAAAATTCCATGAATTTTTCTTTCATGAACATTTATCATCTTAGAGAACAATAGAGATGCCAAAAATAAAAATAGACAATGAACTTTTAAAGTGCCTCTTTCATCTTGAAGGAAAATAATGCACCCAAAAATTCCATGAATTTTTCTTTCATGAACATTTATCATCTTAGAGAACAATAGAGATGCCAAAAATAAAAATAGACAATGAACCTTTAAAGTGCCTCTTTCATCTTGAAGGGAAATAATGCACCCAAAAATTCCATGAATTTTTCTTTCATAAGCATTTATCATCTTAGAACAATTGAAATGCCAAAAATAGACAGACTCGTTAAATAATATGTTCGCATCATCATAATATATCATTTTTCAAATCTGTATCAAAACATTCAGGCTGGCATTTCAAAGCTTTTCTTGATTTTTTTATATAATTAATATTTTTATTATGATTATGAACAATAATCTTTAACATAACCTACCTGTAAAGTGTGGTTTATATTCAACTTAATGGGGACACATGAATTAATCTAGTAAGTTCTATGTTTTTTTATCAAACACACAAGGGGCAACAGAATAAAGAGAAGCAAAAAGATGAAAAATTCCATTCGGTAACCTCTGAATGAAACGGTTCATAGGTTGCATCTGAATCAGTAAGCATTTAGGGAGTTTGGAACTGCTTCTGGACAATTAAGCAAAATTACCTTCTCTTAACCATTAAGGGATTGGAACCATTCAGTTCAACATTCATTGCAATTTAACAAACAGCCCCTAGGATTGTATATATATAGTCATAAACACTTGGTCATGTTGCAAAAGGAATCTTTTTCAATTATGACAATTAGGAATAGAGAAAACAAATTGAATAGTAACAAAAGATGTTGTTTAGGAGCTTAATACGACTCCATTCATCACAATTTAAAAAAAAAAAAAAAAGCTTATTAATCCCCAATAGAAATTATGTTCGTTTATTTAATGGAAAGAGGCATTAATCTCTCTCTCTTTCTCGTTTTCAAGAATGATGACACCATTGTAGAATGTGTTTAGTACCTATGGTGCATTTTCTCTCTTTCCTGGTAACTCTGAACATACCTGCAAGCCCACATAGGATAGTCAATACCAATATCCAGGACATGAAAATTCTTAAGAAAAAAAAAAGAGATTCTTTTTTCTTTTAATCCCTTCTTGATGTTATCATCAAGAAACTTACTAACTAAACGATATAAAAAAGCATCTACATTGCTTGTGATGCGTATATCTTTTGACAATTTTTGATCAAATCATACAAAAATTCTCTCTTTAGAATTCAAATACACACAATTAATTTGTTTAATATATAAACTTCGTGCTAACTTATATGCAAGTTGCATTTTCTACTGCCTGTGCACAAATTTATGACATTAACCCTTTTCTCATATTGCAAATGAGTACCATGTATAGATTATGTAGATTGCTAAGTTGAATCTATTTCTAGCCAATTCCAAGGAAAAGGGTACAATTCAAAATGCATCACATATACAAATACATAGCTATATGGTATAATAAACTCATCACAAATCCATAGAAATTCACCAGACTACAATAAACTGAAAGTACAGAAGCAGGAGAGAACGTTCAAGCTAAAGCAAATAAATTGGAGATTTAGGTTATTCAAATGTATAGAAACATACATTAACATATGAATATAAATCGGTTAGAAATGAAGAAGCTGGTATTGTTATTGAGACTTACGTGTAAACGCCGACGACAGGGCCGACGAGGAGGATGGTGTTGAGCCAGTTATCGGTGACCTTGTGAGTAACCTTACCGGTGAAGTCCTTCCAAAGACCAGGCATCACCTTCTGCTGGAACGGTGACAGGCCGTACACAACCGACTTGATCTTCACCGGAATCTTCCCCATCTTACAATTGCTCCGATCTGATGAAATCAAAACTAGTATCTTCAAAAATCAGGGTTTGAAATTGAAAATGGCCAAGGAGCAAGAGAGATCGAAACCAAAATCTGCTTTCGAAAGAAACCCCAAAATTGATTTCGTTTCAAAGAAAATTAGGAATCTCAATCGAATCATGCTTTTATTGTTGGGCCAATGATCCATTAGGCTTCACGGCCTCTAAAGCAGGCCATGTTTGGTAAATTAGAAGCTTGTTTATCTACAAGTTAGAGGTTGTATGATAAATTTTTATTGTATATTATAAGAGTCTAGTATCATTAGGTAGATTAAAATGTTTGATATCATATATTAGAAACTTTTGATTCGGTTCTCACTATTATGATGACGAATACTAGTTGAGAATGCAATATCTGTCCTCAAACCGAACCTCCGATCCTCATATCCATCTCCGTCCCAACCCCACTAAATGTTCGATGGTTTTAAGTGAAAAAATCCTGGTTGGATTTGGAAAACCCGATGGATACTCGTTTAGCAATAAAATTTTATTCTTAATAAGACATACAATATAAAAAATTTACAAAATTTACAACAATCACTAAATTCTCGGTATATGAAAATATAAGATTGTTAAAAATACGTAAATAAGAAGTTGTTTATTAAATAAACAATTTAAAAAATGGATTCTTGAGTAAAAGTTTTGACACCCCACTTTAGTTTGCTATTTGAAGTTGATGTATCGTTATTTCATTATTTGTTGGAGCTTGTTTACTTAATCGAAGAGCCGCATACATGCTAAACTCTTCAATACCCTATGCCTCTGTAACCGAAGATATAGTTAATAAAATCAATTTTTTGTAAGTTTATTTTATATATATATATATATATATATATATATATATATATATATATATATATATATATATATATATATATATATATATATATATATATATATATATATATATATATATATATATATATAATATATATATATATATAAAGAGAGAGAGAGAGAGAGAGAGAGAGAGAGGAGAGAGAGAGAGAGAGACTTCAATCAAATACCGGTAATCGTATTCAATTTAACCCTTTGACCCGGTCAACAGATCATCTAATTTTCAAAAATTACATTTCAGCCCAGATTTCAAAATTTATTACAAATTTGGTCCAAATTTTACATTTTTTGCCCAGATTTTAAATTTTTTATAAATTTGGTCCAAAATTTACACTTTTTACCCAAATTTTAGAATTTTATTATGAATTCATCCTAACTTTAGTCTTTTTTACAACTTTTTTTCTCAAAAGTTTTTTTCTAATATGTTTTTTCTTTAAAACTCATATTTATACAAAAAAAACATGTTTTCACATAAAAATCTTATTTTTTCTATATAAATTTTTTTTAAAACTTTTCTGTATATGAAATATTTAATTATAAAAATAAGTTTGGATTATTTGTGTGATTTCTCTTAAAAAATCAATTAAGAAATTAAAAGTAACCCTAAATTATACTATTAAATTATAGTTTGTTAAAAACTAGTTACACTAGTTACCCTAAATTAAAAGTAACCTAAATTATAATATTAATATAGATATTTTAATATGTGTTCTATTTAGTGTGTATTCTTTTTTCTATGAGATTTTAATATAGTTGTTTATATGTATTTTTCAATCTGTTACATCTTCGTAAATTAAATCATACATTCGATCACATATATGTGATAAAAGGTATGTAAAGTTGTTCTGATATCATATATGACAATCCATATTGATTTCAGTAGGAGTTGTAACTATCAACGTTTGTAATAATTTTTTACATTTGTTAAATGCCATTTTCTGCCAAAAACCTCCTTATCGACAAATGACAATTGCTCCATTCTAGATAGTTTTTTTTTTTGTTATTACAACAAACAAAATTGACATATGAATCCGATTTTAAAAAGAAGTTTAAATAAAGAAATCAAAAGTGATGATGAACTATATGTATGAATATGTATTAAGCGAGAAACAAAAAATATGAAGTTTTCAATATGTAGCATCTTCTATTATTTAAACTTTTCCTATAAATTTGATTAAAGAACAAATAAATAATATTAAAATGAGTGTAACTAGTTTTTGACAAACTATAATTTAATAGTATAATTTAGGGTTACTTTTAATTTCTTAATTGATTTTTTTAAGAGAAATCACACAAATAATCCAAACCTATTTTTATAATTAGATATTTCATATACAAAAAAGTTTTTATATAGAAAAAATAAGATTTTTATGTGAAAATATGTTTTTTTTTGTATAAATATGAGTTTTAAAGAAAAAACATATTAGAAACAAACTTTTGAGAAAAAAAGTAGTAAAGAAAACTAAAGTTAGGATGAATTCATAATAAAAATCCTAAAATTTGGGCAAAAAGGGTAAATTTTGGACTAAATTTGTAAAAAAATTTAAAATATGAGCAAAAAGTGTAAATTTTGGACCAAATTTGTAATAAATTTTGAAATCTGGGCTGAAATTGTAATTTTTGAAAGTTGGATGACATGTTAACCGGGTCAAAGGGTTAAATTGAATACGATTACCGGTATTTGGGACTTAATTGAATAAAAAAATATATAAGGGCTAAATCGATTATGAAGCCAATATGTAGGGACTTTATTGCAGTTTTCCCTTTCTTATTTCGAGAAATTTTGATAATAAATTTGGACCACACAATTTTTTTTAATTAAAACTATAAAATAACATTCATATGTGGAAAATATTTATTTTTGTTAACTTTGTCCTTGTAAATCATATGCTACATTTATATATGAGATATAATATGTGATTATATATATATATATATATATATATATATATATATATATATATATATATATATATATATATATATATATAATATGTAATTATATGTATTTAATAACATATGATTTATACTGTAACACCCCGACTCCCAGGTATAAGTTTTAAATCCTTATATACATGTTTATGGACCTACTCGACGAGTTGGTTGCCCAACTCGTCGTGTAGAGGCGGGTTAGCCCGCTTGGATTATTGGACCTACTCGACGAGTCGGATGACCCTGTCTCGACGAGTAGGAGTTGGAAAATGAAACTCTAATTTCTAGGGTTATGCACCCTATTTAAAGGGTCATTAGCCTCCACCAGCATCCCTTACCGTCCCCATTGAGCTCAGAAAACCCTAATCGCAATTTTACTCCATCTTTGTGTTAAGAAACTTGGAAAGTGGTTTGGCGAAGAAGGCTTGAAGTCTAAGGAACTTGGAGTAAAGAAAAGCTTGTGGATCTGACTCTACTTCATCTTGGCATCATTTTGAAGGTAACAAGTCGTTACCTTGACTTTTCTCTAAACTAGATCTCTTCATGCTAGGTTTAGGGCTATTTCTAGGTTATTATGGAGTTATTTCGGGTATTGGTCGTGATATGAAATTGTAACTTTGGATCTGGACTCCTATAGGTCCCAAATTAATAAAGCTATCAACTTTACCTTTTATTGACCTCTCACCATCCCCTGAACCTCATTGTAGACTTGGTTTTGGTGTTTTAAGCCTTTAAGACCTTTCATTCACATAAAGTTTGCAACTTTACGTGGAATATGTGCCTTAGGAAGCTAGATCTACAATCTGGAGCTTTGCGCTAACTTAAAAACATCTGAATGAGAAATGGACTGAAGGGACTCAACGAGTTGCATGGTCAACTCGATGAGTCCGATGAAGATTGGCCGTTGTTGGTTTTCTGCATGGACTCAGCGAGTTAGTGAGACGACTCGACGAGTCGGTTAGGGTTTTCCCGACATTTGGACACGCATGGACTCGATGAGTTGTCTTTAAACTCGGTGAGTCAACTAGGGTTTTCATGATTTCTCGAGTTCCGGAAGGACTCAACGAGTCAGTGAACTGCACTCGACGAGTTGGGTCAACATGGATTGTTGACTTTGACTTTAACCATGGGTTGACCAGTTTGACTTCTAGGGGTATTTTAGTAATTTGGGAATTTATGGGAGTGGATCATTGGTGGATGTAGGTGTTAGAGTTGGAGCTGTATTTGGAGGAGTTTGACATTATTATTCCGAGCTACTTGTGAGGTAGGTTGTCCTCACTATATTAATAGGGTCGAAGGCACCAATGTCGGCCCTTTTCGGATTTGTATCCGGGTTTATTGCATGATATGCTTATTGATTTACATCCTGGTAGTTAGGATGGTGATATGCTTAGTGACCTGGTTAGGTCGGTATCCTGGTATGTAGGATAGTGTTATGTTACTCGTAGGGGTGTAAATGAGCCGAGCCGAGCCCGAACATACCCAAGCTCGGCTCGAGCTTGTTTGATTGTATGTTGGCTCGAGCTCGAGCTCGGCTCGTTTCGAGCCCAATTTCAAAGCTCGTGCTCGGCTCGTAGGAAAAATAAGAAGCTCGAGCTCGGCTCGGCTCGTTTAGTTTGTCATGCGAGCCTAAATGAGCTTAGGCTCGACTCGAGCTCGTTTATGGTTTTGGGACTCGTTTAATTTATTATCATATATTTAAGGGAATAATCCAAATTCTAACTTCAAAACAGACATTCATAGATTCTCCATTTGCATTGATTTAATGTCTAAAATATAACCAAATAAAAGAACATAAAGAGTAAAAGCTCAAATTACAAAAATAGTAGTTAAACTCCTAATTATTGAACGACTAGAAATAGAAAAATCTTCCTTTATGCAACTTCACTCCTCAGATACACAAAACTTGCAAAATGTACAAAGGAATCATTTTTTGAAATATTTTTCAGATTAAGAATTTGTTGTTTAACACATCTAATTACCTTCAATTACGTTGTGTTCACCTCAGGTAGTAAAACCTCAATAGGAAACTCCTCCTTCTACAAAATAAAAAGGTTGACAATTAATAATTTAAACTATTAAAATAACAATTATAATGTGGTTTTGATTTTTTTCAAATATACCTTTAATATTTTCTTAACTCCATGAACTTGCCTAATCCAATCTCCTCCGCAAATCAACATTTGTACCGTGTCGGACCCCAATGAAGCTCGATATGGATCAATAACTCTACCGCCGACACTAAAAGTTGCTTCAGATGCAATCGTAGAAATTGGGATTGCAAGTACATCTCTAGCCATCAATGATAAAACACGGTACTTTAACTTGTGCACATTCCACCACTCTAAAGCATTAAATGATTCCATTCCTGTTTGTCCTTTCTCCCTATAAACACCTTCTTCTAAATACATATCAAGCTCTGACTTTTCTGGTCTCTCCAAATCTGCAGTCTTTATGAACTCTCCAAATGCCTCCCATTAGCTATGGCCTCCCTCATCTTAGTAGCAAACGGTTGCTCAGTACTTAGTATCCAATTAGCTATGGCCTCCCTCATCTTGTTTTCATCTTATTTTGTATCCGGTCCGATCAATGGTGGCACAAAATCCACATCACACCCACTAGGCTGAAAATTTAGTATTTGTTGGTTTTTTAGCGATTGTTTATGGGGGATGCAGCTGTTTAGGTGTCTTTTATATGATGATGTAGAACCTGAACCAGTAATAGCCAACCTTGACTTACAATGTTTGCATTCGACTTTTTTCTTACCATCCCGGAGTGTAACTACAACAAAGTCGTCCCATACTTTTGATCTTTTTTTCTGTTTTCTCGTTAATTGTACTTCATCTTCATCGGTTTCGTTATTTTTTTCTCTCACACTTTCATTTTCATTAGGGATTTGACTAGTTGTTTCTTCATTTGGAGTGGTTGTGTGATCCATACCATGTACTAATTGTGATGACGAATTATCAATCCCAACACCTGTTTCAACCCCCATTCCTTTGTTTGGACTTAATAGGTTTGTTGTAGACCCTCCATCATCCATTGAATATTCATAAGAAAACAATACAAATCATAGATACATCAATTTGAAATAATATTTATGCAACAATAAACAACTCAGTGGAACACCATGAACACCAACAAGTACACATAATATTTATGCAAAAGTAAATAACTCAATGTGATTTGAAAAATATGTGTGTCATTTTCTAGCATTTGGTCAAACATTAGGGTCAAAAATGTGAATTGAAAACATCCAACATGCAATCACGTTGCAATTTCCAAACAAGTGAATTAATATGATTACAAACAGGTACCTTTTGATTTGAGGAGTGCCGATTTTAATTACAAAAATTGACAAACAGGTTATTTGCTTAGTGCTTACAATCGATCCATTCAATCACATTACTGATACCAATCGATTCAATATAAACTGTGATGGAATGAAATATTATTAATACCTCTTGGCTGTTGAGTGTTGTCTGTTGAGAACGAGATGGATTCGGGAGGGAAACGTCGACCTCAGACCGTCGTATACTCAATCAGTCAATTGATACATCCACTGGATTCGGAAATCAATTGTTACGTACTTACAATCGATCGTTAATTGGAAATCATGGATTAATTATCGTCGCCCTAGATGGTAAATGGGTAATGGCATGTTCGACCGTCTTAGGCTCGTAGTTGTAGGGTATATGTCGTATGCGTGTGTGGAGTAAGGGGAATGTCGGCAAAGACGGTTGGTTTGCTTTCAATTCATATAAAGATTAAAGAAATTAAGGAAACATATTATTAATAATATAAATATATAATATAAGGAGTGAAAAATATATTTATATTATAATTTATATAGGCTCGTTTAAGCTCGCGAGCCCTAGTCGAGCTCGGTTTAAAAGCTCGGGCTCGAGCTCGTTTAATAAATGAGCCCCGAATAAAGCTCAGGCTCGTTTAAATCGAGTTTGAGTCGAACTTTTAACGAGTCGATTCCGAGTAGCTCACGAGTAGCTCGGCTCACTTACACCCCTATATGTTAGTGACCAGTTAGGTCGGTATCATGGTTTATAGGATAATGTTATGTTAGTGACCGATTAGGTTGGTATCTTAGTTATAGGATGTTGCTATGATTAGTGATCTGTTATATTAGTTTGACTGTTATATACATGCTAGCATATGATATTTATGTACACATGGTTGTTTGATTGGGGTTGGGTTGAGGCGGACCTGCTTTGTGCTGAAGGTCAACATACCCTGGGCATACCGGATCGACTACAGACCTGAGAGGGCATATTAGTTAGACCGAAGGCCCTGCAAGAGGCCCAAATAGACTAAGGGCCCTGAGAGGCGGTCCAGACGTGCCGAAGGCTCGGAGAACGGTCCAGATAGACTAAAGGCATGCAAGGCGGTCCAATCAAGCTGATGGCTCGTTATGCATGAAGTTTGTTTATATGATATGATTATGATTGTATGGCATTGGTATTTTGGGGAAACTCTATAACGCCCTGATCTTCAAGTATTGGTTTATGTGAGAATTGTATTGATTTTAAGTTCTACTCGATGATTTGGCTGCCCTACTCGTCGAGTAGCAACAGGTTGGTCCATGTGTTTTAGTGACCTACTCGCCGAGTCCAAGAAGAGACTTGACGGATAGGAGCTGGAGGATGAAACCCTAATTTTTGGGGTTTTGCACCCTATTTAAGGATCACTTATCCTCCTTAGCCTCTCTTACTACCTCCCTTGAGTTCAGAAACCCTAATTCGTGTTTGCTCCCAATATTTGTGAGCTTCTTAGCTTGGAAGAGGGATTTTTGGAGTAAAAAGCTTGGAGATCAAGAAGTTTGGAGCAAGGGGATGTTGTAGATCTGGATTCTTCTCTGTCTTGGCATCATTTTGGAGGTAACAAGTTGTTACCTTGGCTCTCTTTTGGATAGATCTCTTCATTTATGGGTTTAGGGCCCTTTTTAGGGTTTTGTGTGGCGGTTCTCCGATTTGGGTCAAGATCTGTGGTTGCAACCTCAGATTTGGACTCCTTTAGCCCCTCTTTGTCATAAAGTTTCAGTCTTTGTCAAGATATGACCTTTCCCTTACCTTAAGCCACTCCTTTAGTTTTTTTTTGGGCCATTATCATCTTTCATGCACGTAAAGTTTGCAACTTTACGTGATAAACATGCCCTAAGAGCGTAAATCTGCAGTATGGAGTCTTTGCATGGCTTAAAAAGCATCTGTATGGATGAAGGATTGAAGGGACTCGGCGAGTCGCATGGTCAAATCGGCGAGTCATATGAAGATGCTCCTAAACTCAACGAGTTGGATGAACAACTCGGCGAGTCCGATGAAGATTGTCGTAGACTCGGCGAGTCAGTAGAGTAACTCGACGAGTCGGTTACGGTTTTTCCTAACTGTTAGATGCGGGTGAACTTATCGAGTTGCAAGGGGAAAACTCGATGAGTGGCCAAGGAGTTTCGACTGCGAACCTTAGGAACTCGACGAGTCACTCTGGTGACTCGGCGAGTGGCCGGTTGCACTTGACGAGTTCAGGTCAACATGGACTGTTGACCCTCGCAGTTAACTTTGACTTTGACCAAGGGTTGACCAGTTGACTTATGGGGGTATCTGGGAATTTATGAACCTTGTGATGTGTCGAATATAGGTGGTGAAGTTCGTGGCGGTGATTCGAGAGTTGAACTTTCTATTTCCAGTAGACAGTTGCAAGGTGAGTTATCCTCACTATACTTAAGGGTCTAAGGCACCAAGGCCGGCCCTTTGGATTGTTATCTGGAATGCTATGCTAGAATGATTTTTTAGATCGATATCCTAGAGGGTAGGATAATATTATGCAATATGTGGTATGATCTGTTAGGTCAGTATCCTAGTAGATAGGATGGTATTATGTGTTATGTGTTATGATCCGTTAGATCAGTTGTTTTCTATAGACTAATATGTGATTATCTGTTATATATATATATATATATATATATATATATATATATATATATGCACATGTTTGTTTGGCGGTTGAGGATTACCTGCTTTGTGCGGAGGCCAATAGACCTGGACATTCCAACGTATTGGTTGTGGGCAGTGAGTATTCCATCTAAAGGATGATTGGACTCATAGTATGTGGGCATTCCAACATGTTGGTTGTCGGACTGGGGTATTCCATCCCGAGGATGATTGGACCCATAGTATGTTGGCATTCTAAACTATTGGTTGTGGGCCTGGGGTATTCCAACCCGATGGTTGACTGGACCCATAACATGCTGTTTATGATTCTATGTGTATTACTGTGAGTATGAGTATTTTGGGGGAGCTTACTAAGCTTTCGGGCTTACAGTCTCAGTTATTGTTTCAGGTACATCAGGGGAGCATGGCAAGGCGAAGGCGTGATCATACAACTCCTCATATATTGTCATGATTTCTGGGAAAACTCTGATATAGACAATTTGGACACAAAAATTGTAATAACTATTGGTTTTAAATGTTTTTGAAAAGTTTAAAATTGGCTTGAATTTTATGGGTGTTACAAACTCACTAAGCTACGGGCTTACAGTTGTTGATTTTGTTTCAGGTACTTCTGATGATCGTGGGAAGGCGAATGTGTGATCGTGCACCTCCTTATGTTTTTATGATTTGATTTTGGGATACTCTGACATTAAACCATTTTGAAAACATGTTTGTAATAATTATAGGTTTTTGAATGATTTAAAAAGTTTTAAATTGGTATGAATTTTATGGGTGTTACAAGTTGGTATCAGAGCCTTGGTTTGAGTGGATTGGAGGAAACACTCGCGTGTCTCTAATCTCAAACTAAGGAGAATATTTTAAAATGATTTTTCAAATGGTTTTCAAAATACTAAAGGAGGATGAAAATGTACGATTAGCTGGAGCTCGCAAATAGACCCCAAAATACCTTACGGATTATTTGATTTTGTGATATGTTAGAACAACATGCTAGTACTAGGCTAGGGATCCCCAGGAATTTCATGATAGAATTGTCTGATTATATGATGCCTGATAGGCTAGGGTTTTCCTTATATGAAATTGACATCATTATTGTAGCTGCTTAGTGTATGCATCACGACCGTACATAATTAAGATCTTATAGCCTGAGAATGTTTGGTTTGGCCTTATTTTCTGTTCTTTTTTTATGAAGGGATTAGGGTAGGATTAGGTATTCGAAAGTCTATAGGGTCTAGCATTATGTATGGCTAGCATATACGAGTGCTGCAGGGTTGGTGGAAGTTTCATGGGTGGGTTGTGTGAGGTCGGTAGGCCAGTATGAGATATTTAGCATTCCTCTAGGAGGGGGGATTGAGCGCTCGCCATGTTTATGTATATTGTTAGGGTTTTGTGATGATACTTGAGATAAATATGGGTAGGTGTGGAAGGTAGTATGAGCCCGTACTACTAAAAACATAGGACCGATACGCGTATCAAGGAAGTCACAACCCCTAGGGTTTAGTTGGGAGTTGGTTCCCTGTTATTTATTTGGATTATCTGATATCTTCTTGGTGTATTTCAGTATGGTAGTTACGAGACGCTTTGTGACTGGATTCAGATCAAGATCCGGAGATGGCGTTCAGGAGGGACCGACAGTGCCCGATGTTGTTGGTCAGATGGAGTCGGATGAGCTAGACGCCAAGATTCGAGAGATCCTGCATGATGAGGTTGTTACTTTGTTCCGGGAACAGTTGCCAGAGATGTTCGGGTCTATTAAGACCGCCATGGTTGAGTATTTTGACGAGCGATATGTAGCTCCTGCTGAGACGGCTGCCGCAACAGTTATAATAGTTGTAACGGCGACAGGGGGAGGAGTTGGTCGAGCTTTTTTGTACGGGGACTTCAATAACGCGAAGCCACCGACATTTGATGGGACTCAGGATCCGATCAGAGCCATGAGGTGGCTTTCTGACGTGGAGGGTTTTTTCTTCACGTCCTCATGTCCTACTGACTAGAAGGTCATATGTACCCTGAACTTGCCAAGGTCTGGGGCAAAGGACTAGTGGAGGTTGATGATTGGGTCTTACATTGATGATCAGAGAAATAC